GAGATTCATGCCCTGTTTCTGCACTGTGGTAGCCCTAAGGTTGCCCAGGAGGCCCCATTCCTAAATCTCAGTGGTGTCAGAGCAGGGTCTTACCTGCATCATGATGTCCACATACTCCTCATCAGGCAGCAGACACAGGTAGGGGTAGAGAACGCTGTGCCCTGACATTGTCTTGACCTGGGACATGTTGTGCTTTGACTTCTGCAGGGCCTGGAGAATGGCATCACGCCACTGAGAACGAAAGCTGGCCAACTGCTGGCGCTACACAAGAAATGGAAGCAAAACAGTCACATTGTGGTGAGAGTGCATCACCAGGAAACCCTCCCACTTTAAGGGAATGACCCCTGCAAGTTCCCCACAAGACCACTGTCGACTGAAGTGCCCTCCACCTCTTCAGACACCCTGATATTTACTGCTTTGATGGCTTGTGGAGTCAGAGGTTTGGTTGACTCCACTGACTTGATGGTTATGGTGCTGTTCAGCTCCATCTCCAGCTGCTGCTGGAAGCGCTCCTGCAGCTCCTGCGCAGTGAAATCCAGCTTGGGATATGACACCATCTCCTTCTGCAAGAAGAGTGGGGCAGTAAGTACCAAAAGCCAGAGGAAAGGAAGGTATTACAGTCCTGTGCTGGACCTGAATGCATCCTGAAGACATCTGTGAATACATCTGGCCAGCTCCAACAGAAATATTCAGCAGAAATACTCCTGAGCTCAGTGGCTTACCTCAGAGTAGAAGTTCTTGAGCAGAGCAGCCTTGCAAATCTCAGGTTTGGGTGGAGAAGGCAGTTGGTAGTCAGGCTGGATAATCCTGATGGCCTTCAGCACCTTCTCCTTCTCATCCCCCTCAAACAGGCACTTTTGGAAGAGCTCATCCACGTGGAAGCCATCTTTCTTCAGGTGTTGCACACACCTGAGGAGAGGCAGATGAGACAGATGTGTGCACATTGACAGAAACCAGCATACAGTGAGGCAAGGAACAGTTTACAAACAGAAGACTAAGCATAGAGAAAACATATTGATGCTCCCTCTTCAGGATCCAAAGGCCTTGTCTGTATCAGGCTTTTCCTTCCTCACTTTTGCCCTAAACAATGTCACTTGGGCCCACGTGAGACACAGCACAGGACAAGTCTTGTAGCAACTTGAACCTCACTGAGCTGATGCCTGCCCAGAACCAGATAGGAGGGAGAGTGCTGCAGCAATGGGAGTAATGGGAAACCTGCAGCACACCAGCTCTCCCTGCCTGCCACATGCAGCCAGACACCAGGAAACAGATCTCCAGGCTGCAGGAGCTGCTGGGGTGTGAGCTGCCTCCAGAGTACAGCCTGTCCTTGACAAGGTCACCAGCCTCAGGTTACAGCCATCAGTCATCCACCTCCTCCAGCCCACAGTGCTGCTGAGCTGGCAGCTTTCACCTTCACACATGGATGGGGAGGCTGATCTCTACTGCCTTTGTGAGATTAAAAAGAAAAAAAAAGATGCTGCCATGCTGCCTCCTCCATCCTTAAATGCTCCTCCTATCCTCACTAGCCTGATCCAGCACAAGCGAATGCAAGGTAATGGTCACAGCCTGGACAAAGGGGCAGTGAACAACTGCTGCCATGGGCAGATTGGACCATCCTGACTTCAAATTGGGAGAGCATATGTGAGGACTCACAAACACGGCACCAGCAAACAGAAGGAGCTGTGTGAAAACACACACACCTTGATGAGGCTTGGAGCTGGCAAATCTCTGCAGATGTGCTATAAATATTTGCCTCCTGACAATCCTACACATTTACTGCTGTACTTATGCAGCACTCACACACCTAAGCAGAAAAAGCAATACAAGTCTTTTCTAGATCTGACCTGAAAGTCATTCACTCAGAGGCTGGCATATCACTGGTTACCTTCAGCCTTTCAGTTTGGGTCCATGAAACCCATCTGAATCTCCTGGTCACATTCCTGCAGAGAAATGGAAGCCTACAAAAATCTACTGTCTGGCTCATCCCACCAGAAAATGCCGACTCCCAGACTGGATGGAGGAATTATCCCTACTGCACAATGATGGAGAGCCAAACAGGGCAAACATTCCCACCAGAATGGGTGTGGGACCACAGGCACCTGATTGGAGAGGGGCTGCTCGCAGCCCATTGGCAGCAGGTATAGCTTTGTCCAGAAGTCAGGCTGTTTTCATCTACAACTCCCTTCTCCACAAGATCTTGGACAAACCCTTAAGCTGGAGTGGTGAAAACAGTTCAAAGAGTCAGCCCTAACCAACCCCTTAATCTGGCCATGAGAACCAAGCCACAGCACCCAGACATGCACACAGCAAGGCAGGCTTTCCCTACCCTGAGCCAGTGCCTCCTGTCCCCAGTTCATGCCCTCGTGGCACAGTGGAGCTGCAGAGATGTTGCCCAGAGCAGGAGGCTGCCTGGGAGAAGTGAAGTGCATTACCTCCAGATGGCTTTGGTGGATGACTGGCTCTGTGTCATGCACTCCAGCAGTACTGCGTAGGAGTCCAGGTTGGGCCGCAGGCTGATGGACTCCAGCATGGATAGCAGATTGATGACACGGTGCAAGCAGCCCTGTGGATGAGAAGGGATGGAGGATGTGGAAACAGACACCAGAAGCACCAAATCACAGCTTCACATCCCTCTGCTCCTTCTCCAGCTGAGTCGCATCCATACTATCCCACCCCTTTCCTCTCCTCAAAGCCAGCTCACAGGGATCAGTGGCCTCAGCCCAGCTCTGTCCATCTCAGCAAAAATTGCTGAAGGGAAACGTGACAAACAGAGAAATCATACTGCAACTACTGATTCTACAAGCGTGGGACCCTTCCACCTCTGCCAGCACACCTCTGGCCTTGCCACTCAGAAAGCCTGGCACCAAAGGGCCAAGACCAATCAAGTTAACAGCAGCAGAAGGCCCCCAAAAGCTCCATACCTTTCTTGCCCAGCCACGCATCACGACATTGTATGCATCAACATTCAAAAGTTTCCTTTTCATGGGGTTGCTGTGATACAGGAGGAGCAACTTCTCAGCCTCCTCTGGCTGCCGTAAGTACAGGAGGCACTCAAGATTAGACTGGATGGTCTGCTGCATGATCTTGCGCTGGCTGCTCCTATCCTCATGCACACGTTGAGCCTTCTGTGCTTTCACATCTTGCTTCATTTCTTCCACCCTGGGCTTATGGCAGGTGTCGGCACTGCTGGGACCAGCATGACTCTGGTTTCTGGAAGTACTTGCTGTAGCCTTTGGACTCTTCTGGCTCTTTTTGGCTTTGGTCTTTGTCTTTGCCTTCGCTTTCACCTTTGTCTTCACCTTGACTTTTGTTTTGACCTTGGGCTGGCCCTCTAGAGTCAACTGGGAGGCTGCAATAGACAGCTTCTTCTCCACCTTCATCTGCCGGATGTACATTTCCTTCTTCAGCTTTTCTGTCCAGCTGCTGGACTGCCTGGGGACCAGGTGCTCCACTGCTGTGCCTGCATCCACTGCTTTCTGCAGCAGGTCCTGCTGCCTGTTGCTCTGCAGCTGTGCCAGTTCCACTTTGTTGATTGTCACCTCTGGGATGTTACTGGTTTGGAGTTGCTTCACTCGAGCTTTCAGCACTGCCAGGAAACAGCCAGGACAGAGATGAAGAGATGTGTGACACAGCAGAAGACTAGGTCCTACCCTAACACCTCACTTCTGGCAGAAAGATGCTCAGGAATGAGGTTATGAAGAAGGTTACACAATGAGTTTCTCCCTTCTTAACCAACCCACCCACCCCAGGAGCTTGCAGCAATCAGCTGCTCTGGAACCACCTATAGACTGTGGTTTGTCCCAGCATCCAGGGGAACTGAATAATGTCTCTGCAAGGGAAAAACCACCAGCTCATACCTTCATCAAGCCAGATCTCACTCTGGTCAGTCTGCAGGGCCCTCCTATGTCCTGGGAATGACTTTTCTACAACCTCTTAAGACCACCCTGTATTTGTACGGCAGCTCAATGCTCTCTGAAGGCCTTGGGACTGGACAGGCCTTGTTCAACAACTCTGCCTCACATCCTTCAGCAGCTCACAAGCATTTCCAACCCCCTCCCCCCCCAGGACACTGAATGAAGGAGAGCCCTGCAGCTCTTCTAGGAAACCCTCCTCACCTTCCAGCAGCTCCGTCCTCTCACAGATGGCGTTTCTCCTCGCCTTTTCCTTGGCGCTGGCCGAGGTGTAACACCTGAGGACGCTCCATGGGATCCCTACAGCACAACGGAACGTTGAGGGGAGGCTCCCATCACCCCCACACCACAGCCGGACCCCACAGGACAGCGGGGCTCCCTCAGAACCACCAGCTTAGGCCCCGACCCGGCCCTCAGCAGCACCACCAGCATCCTCAAATCCCGAACTGCCTCAGCTGCACCCACCCGCCCTCTCCCCTCCCCCCAGCCCCATTCCCAGCCTCTCACCGCCGCCCCTCAGCCGGGCCGGGCCCAGCAGCGCCGCCCGCAGCCTCAGCAACGCCATGCTGCCCCACTACGCCGCCATGCCGCGCCGCCCGCCCTCACTGCGCAGGCGCGGCGCGCAGCCTGCCGGGAGCGGTAGTTCCGTTCCGCACTACAACTCCCACAGTGCACCGCGGCAGCGCCGTTTCCCTCCCCCCCAACCCCCGTTCCCCGTTCCCCCCGCCTCGCACCCCCTAGCGGCCGCGGGCTGGGCGGTGCGAACCGACGGGGCGGGAGCGGAGCGGGGACACGGCACAGCGCGGAAAGGGCACGGAACGGGCCGAGCCCGGCTCGATTCGCACACGGAGCGTTCCTGAGCCCGTGATGCTGCTCGGGGAGCCGGGAGGAGACGTCGGGGCTGTGCCGGGAGGGCTGCTCTGCGGTGCTGCCCGCACCCACGGGGAAACCGAACCCCGAAGTGGAACCGGAGGATGAGGACAGCAGGACGGACAGCACCGAAGGGGATCGGAAGCCTCCCAGAAGGGGATCGGAAGCGAAACGGACGCGGAGTCAGCCGTCGGGTTCCCCCCCGACTCGCAGGGATTTATGAATGAGAGACCCCGCCCCTCTGCCCCGCCTCCCCCCGCCCATTCACCGCCGCTGCTGCCGCCCGCGCCGTCGGGGCCGCTCGCCGGTGGCCGTGGCCATGGCCCGGAGCCGCGCAGCGACCTGCTGTGCCCCACCGCCCGCCCGGCGGCCGCCGCCATGAGGCGCGGGGGTCCCGCCGCTCTCGCCGCCTGCCTCGCTGGGGCGCTCGCCGTGCTGGCGGGGCCGGGACCGGACAGCTCCGTTTGGGGCGGCCGGCGGCCCCCCCGCAGCTACGGGCATCTGGAAGGAGACGTGCGCTGCCGGCGGCTCTTCTCCGCCACCCGCTTCTTCCTGAGCATCGACGGTGGCGGCGGAGTGGAGGGGACGCGCTGGAGGGAGCGGCCGGGCAGTGAGTGGGGTCGGGGCCGGGATGTGTGCCGGGACCGGGACCGGGACCGGGACCGCTCTCTCCTCAATGGGTCCCGGAGCCGAGCCCCGACGGTGCGGCGGATCGGGGAAAGCCGGGTCCCGTTCTGCCGTTGTTTTCCAACCTCGCCGCGTTAGAGCGGGGTCAGAAACTGCGCCGTATCCTCTGTGGGCAGTGCCACGGGTCCCGCGGCTCGGAGTTGGTTGGGGACAGCCCTGTCCAAAGCCGTCGGACCCCGTTGCCCCGGGGGCTCAAGCTGGAACGGCTGCTGGTTTCTTCTCAGCCCAGGGTCAGCAGGTGAACTGACACCACTGACCTCCAGGGACACGGTGTCACTTTGCCAGCAGTGCCCAGCATCAGTAGGGACCTGGGGGTCTCTCTTCCCCACATCTATTACCATCAGCAGATAACTGTCAGCATTTGGGGTCATCCTCATCCAGATTGGGCTGGGGGGATCCATCCCCATCATTCCCATCAGTGTCTTGGGAAGGAGAAGGGCTGAGGAGGAGGAGGGCTGGAGGGGACTCGGGGGCGATGCTGCTCCCAGGGTCCATGAGTGGAGTGGAGCAGCCATGGTTCCTCTGCAGTCAGAATTGCTGGAGGCAATTTAAGAGCAGTGCAGGTCTCTGTGGGCTGCCTGGGGTCTGCACGGTGGTGCTCAGCCTAATAGAGTCCAAGCCCTACAAATAGAGATTCATCTGGGACAGCACCAATGATGACGTGCGACCCAAAAGCACGGCCCACCTCTGTCTCACATCAGAGAGGATGTCACCCACCTGCAGTGGGAAGGAGCCCGGCTCAACTGGGACAGCTGCTCATGAAGAGCCCTGTTGTGGTACCAAGAGCTGCTGGGAGCCCAACCAGGCATGCTGCCAGCTCCCCCACGCCTTCCCTTGGCCGTGTGGCAATAGGGCCTGGCAGGCTCCAGGCTGTCACATCAGGCTCACTCTGGTTATTGGAGCTGCAGATAACCCGTGCCTGGGTTGGGCTCGGGTTCTGCTCCCCAGCCCTCCTGGCAGCCACCAGCCCAGCCCTACCAGTGACTGGAATAGGACTTTCTCTCCGTGTGCCCCACACCCAGCCCAGGGCTGGTCTGGAGCACTGTGAGGGGCTGAAGGCTGCTTCCTGATGTTCCTCCCTGGCTCCATCACAACCTGCATGGAGTTGAGCATTTCCCTGGGTACCCATCAGCAAAGCGTGGCTCTGTCCTACTGAGCACTGGGAATAGCAAAGTGGGGTTATTTTTAGAGAAGCAAAAGTCCTTTGGTATAAATAGCAGCAGCTCCAGACAGCGATAAACTGAGATGGATTTACAGGCATTTTCTCAACCTTTCCCCATGGCTGTTAATGGATTTGCTGTTCTAGGATGTGCTGGACCACAGCACGTGTGCTGGTGGCTGGGCTGAACATCCCCCCCTCAGTATCATCCTGTAGCACTCAGCACTGAGCTCTGCACAGCACTCAGCTTGTCCTTGTGCCATATCCAGCCCCATCCTCTCCCAGCAGCATCACAGTGACCCAATGGATGCCTCAGCCTGCAGTGGGTGGGTGAGGTCTTGCAGAAGACCCTGCCCAGAGGCTGTGGGATTCTCTGTACTCTGAGCCACCCAAAGTCTCTGCAGGGATGGGGTCATGCTGACGGCTCTCATTGGTGCAGAGAAAGAGAGGGAGGAAGAATCCAGAGACTTCCTGGCATTGCTCTGGGTGTTTCCATGCTAAAATCCACCTGGTCTGACCACATGCCTTTCCCATTAGCGGCTCTGACCGAGATCCACAGGCTGGCTACACGCACCTTTAGTCGAGCCCTTGCTGTGGGGCCAAACCCAGGGCTGCTGCATCCTGCAGTCCCCACCCGGGTCCCCATATCCATGCTGGTCCCAACCAGGCAAGCAGCACTAGTGAGAACGGGCAGCACCCCCAGCAATGGGATGAGTGGTCTAAGAGCTGGGCTGGGTCCCTGGGGCTTCACAGCATGTGTTGGGCAGAGGCTCAGCTGCTGATTCAGGGAGAACAACCATGAAGTGAGCAGGGGGCAAAGGCTGACAGTTGGTTCCAGGCACGCGGAGCTGCAGCTTGGCCTCATTCCAGCAGAGCTCTGCTCCCAGGGGCAGATGGGCATAAGGGAGGATGGGAATAAAGGGCAAACCCTCCAGGATGATGGGGTTCTTCCTTTAACGTGCAACCCTTGCTCTCCACCATCCCTCCATTGGGACAGCATCCATCCATCCATCTGTCCATCTCCCCGGCTCCTGCACCGGGTGAGGTTCCCCTGTGACACTTTATGGGGTCGATGGTGCTGTCCCTCTATGGTGACACTTTATGGGCAGTGGGGGAAGGGTCCTTCCAGGAGTTGGCCCATCTCACAGCAGCACTTCCCTGCCCCGCAGGCATCGTCGAGATCCGGTCGGTGCGTGTCGGCGTTGTGGCCATCCGGGCGGTGCACACCGGCTTCTACCTGGCCATGAACAAACAGGGGAAGCTCTACGGGTCGGTAGGTCAGGCTCTGCATCCCATGACTGGCATTAGAGATGCGGGGCAGAGCCAGAAACGGGGAGATCCTGCACCCACTGGGGCTGGTATCCATGCTTGCTCCCCCTACACCCCATAGGGGACGGCAACCGCGGAGCCCTCACCCTGCTCACCCCCTTCCCTCCTCTGCCAGAAGGAGTTCAGCCCCAACTGCAAGTTCAAGGAACGCATTGAGGAGAATGGCTACAACACCTACGCCTCGCTGCGCTGGCGGCACCGGGGCCGCCCCATGTTCCTCTCTCTCAATAGCAAAGGGAGGCCACGGCGAGGGGGCAAGACGCGCCGGCAGCACCTCTCCACCCACTTCCTCCCCATGCTCGTCAGCTGAGCCCTGCAGTGTGGCTCCTGGACGGTCCTGTAGGAAAAGAAATAACGGGGGGAAAAGAAAAAGGCTATTTTATATATGTACATATCTATATATATATATATATTGCTATTTATTGTTTTGTTTCTTGAACCGCGTGGTGGAGGATGGATGTGGATGGCAAAAGGTCCAGACTCAGCATGCAGAGCCATCCATGCTCGGTGTCCCTCCGCGTGTCCAACCTGAGGCACGCACCCACCATGGATGGAGCTGATGCTATCCTGGCTTCCTGCTCTGCTGACAGCATCTCTGCAAGGGGAGAGTGGCTGCAGGGCTGGGAGATGCTGGGGCTGTGTTTGATTGGTGTCTGAGCGCTCGTGGAAATTAAAGCTGTGTTCGTGACAAGGGGCAGCAAATTGTGGCAGTGCAATGCTGGTGCTCCTGGGCTCCTTCAGCCTCGAGGTGTTGCCCTGGGTTGGGAGATACAGACCTTGGCATCCTCCCTTCTCTTCCCACCCTACACCTGTGTGTGTGGGCAAGGGCATTGCTCAGCCCCAAATCTAACCGTAGGGAAAGGCAGCAAGTGGTGTTTCAGGGATGGAAAAGGAGGAAATGGCTGTGGGAGGGGAGAGCCCTGGATGTCAGACTGCTGCAGGGTAAAGGTGCACGAGGTGAGATGAAGGAATGGCACAGCTGCATCCCGGATGAGCATCCCCTGTAGTTCTGAGGCCCCACTCTGCTCCCTCCCAGCAGATGGGGATGGAGCTGGGTACTGGGAGGTGATTCCAAGAGCATCACCACAGCCAGAAATAGTGCCTGTTCCTCCCAGCCAGAGCACGTTCCTGCAGTGCCTGCTGAGCCTCACTGTAAGAGGCACCGCAGCGTGGTCACCGTGTCACATCAGACAACCACCAAACTCGTTCCATTTCTTACCAAACCAGCTCCCAGTGAGCCTGTGGCAGGAGGGAGCAACCACTGCAGCAACTGCTGGGATTGCAGTGGGCACCAGACCCCAACCCCAGGAGCTGCAGCACCCATATGCTTCGCTTCACCCATCTGAAGCCCACCTCAAGCATCTCACACATGGGCACAAACTGCATCAGGACCCTTCCTTCCTGCCTCTGGGATCCCTCTGCCACCACCTGCTCCTGAGCCTGGGATTCCAGCAGCAGAAGCTCCTGGCTCGACCTCTGGCACAGGATGAGCTCTTACCCTGATATACCAGTCCTGAGATAAACCCTTGTCCCAGAGGCATCCGCCTGCGAGATCAAAGCAGCTGCAGCCTGGTTGAGCTGGCAGAGCCAATGACAAAAACATTCCAGGGCAATGGCTCAGTGCCGGCCGTGCCTCCTCACTGCCAGCCCCCAACAGCTTTGGCAAACGGCACTGATGCTTCCTCCAACAAACCTTCCCTTTTATTCTGTTTAAGAAATGTCACACAACACCTTCCCCCTCCCATAGGGAGGTACAGCCTTTCTTAGGAAGCTCTTGGACCTGGGCAGTTCCACTCAGTGCTGGATCCTCGTTGATTTGCTCCACGGTTCTGCCACCCTGTGCCCATTCTGTGACACCAGCAGGGCAGAGTCCGGCTGTACCTGCAGGGTCAGCAGCTCCTCCATGTCTCAGCCCCAGCTTTTTCCTGCTGTGCTCCCATCAGCCACATCTGAGCTTCTGCTTTTGAGTCATCAAAGAGACAAACAAGTGCAAGAGCTTCCAGGTAGGCATTGGGACAGCTGGGTCACCAGCAGACAGTTGCATGGGGCAGGGGGAGCTGCCTGTAGCTGGCACTGCACAGGGCTGGGCTGCCCTTGGCAAAGCTGGCCCAGCTCTTGCTATGCTCAGTGCCATCTGGGCTCAGCAGGAGAGTGGAAGTCCAGGACTGCATTTAGGTCAGACCCCAGAGCCCCCTATGCTTCCTTCTGGCCTCAGAGCCCAGCATGCACCCCTAAGAGCATCAGACACCACCAATAAGCTTTACTCTACTGCACTGTGCCTGGCATTTGCACACGACCAGCTGTAGATGTACAAACCCTCCCATGCACACATCCCACTCTCATCACAGGGCTGCTTCCCACAGGTGGTCTGTGATGCTGCCATAGCCTCACCTGAGCAAACCTACAAGGTGAGGAAGGCTACAGCCTCCCCAGTAGACAGGCCACAGGAGACCCAGTCCTCTGGATATGCATCTGTCCCAGAATAGCATGGGTGTGGAAAACAAGACCACACATCACCTGATGCACAGCATGGAGTGCACAGCACCTCCATCAGCACCAGAGTGAGGGAGATCCACTGTCTGCCTCAAATCCCTGCAACAGAAGAGGCAGCAGCTCACACCTCAGGCAGCCCAGTGCTTCCCAAAGCGCTCACTGCTTCCCCTCTCCTTCCAGCACTGCATGGTGACACACAGCAAGGAGCCTGGTTTGTCCCCACACCTCAGCCCAGGTAGGTCACTGCCACCTCCAGTCACATTCTTCTCATTCTCCAATGCACAAACTGTCAAACACACCCAGGTATTTTGTCTCTCTCTCCTTTTTTAATCAGCTGTATTTTAAGTAACTTTGAAATACATATTTTATTTTTCTTTTCTCTCCAAAATCTTGTTTTTCCTGTATATTATTTGATCACAATGAGATGTGGCTGGTCCTTGCACTGACGCACGCCCAGTCCTGATGTTAACAGTGGAAAAGTCTGTTCAGAACTGCAACAGGGAGATGTAAAAAATACAAAAAGGACCAGGCAAGTATGCTTTTCAGATGCAATCTTGCAGCCAGCCCCTCAACAACCCACGGGCTGACAATGCACAGAGGGGTGTTGGCCACGTTGAAGCCTGGAACTCCCAGCATACCTGCACTCAGCATGCCAGGAGGGCTTGGACAAGCCCAGCCTGCCCTTGGGTGAAACCAGGCTGCTCAGCACAGCAGTCTCTGGAGACCTTACCCTGTAGTTTTCCTCAAATCATGCATAACGTCTCGTTGAGCTGAAACGTCCATTTATTTAAACAGCAGTAATAATTTAAAATTATAAAAACCCCCTTTCAGTGTTGAGTATCAGAAGGGTAAGGTTGTAAAGAAAAATAAATGGGACTCGAGATGGGGGGGAGAAGGGAAGGATAATGGGGTCTGTTTCAAGAGTTCATTTGCTCAGTGACAACTATTTGCCCTCCCCAGATGAAGATCCTGGGAGGGAGGCAGTATCATTATGCTTTCATTTTTAAGATTTCAATCTCCAAAGCAGAAGAGATAGTATCTAAGGGGAGGAGGAGGAGGAGGAAAAGCAATAAAAAAAAAAAAAGGAATCTCAAATTCAAAACCTTACAAACAACCTTTCCATTCAGAATTGCAACCATTAGCTCAGTGCCTTAGGTTTCCCATCTGTGGAGCACTGCAGCCTTTCACTGCAATTGTTAAAAGTCCACGTGGCAAAGGGATGAATTTTATTAACAGACAGAGCTCTTTCCCCATGACAGAACTTGAGGCTTCTCATCTCTGAAGGATCCAGAGTCTCCGTGTCTTCAGAACTCAAAAGGGAATTCTGGGGGTGCTGCTTCCCCCTTGCTACCCTCCCCTTGCTCTGCTCTGGAAGCCCCTTTTGCTGCTTATGTTGGCTGGGGAGGGAAGAAGGACAATGGACAGGGCCCCAGGGACAGAGGGTTGGTTTAAGATTCATGAGTTGTTCGATGAGTTTTCGTTACTTGGTGAGCTGGAAGAAGAGGAGGAGGATGATGATGAGAAGTTCATCCCTGTGAGTCCAGGGGGGTTTGTAGCAGTGTTTTGTCCACTTAGGCTCTTCCGGCACACAGGACACGTGTCATGCTATGGAGAGCAGACAAAAAAAAAAAAAGGAGAAATAAGGGAAACTGGATTATAAACAATACAGGAGCAATTCTCAAGGAAAAGGCTAAGATTACACTCCTGTTCATGCTCAGGCTTCATCATGGGGGTGTAAAAAACATTTACAGAGCAGAACAGCACCACCAGAAAACAATTAAGTGCTACAAAACCCAAGAGACCCACACAGAAGGCACTAACCTGCTCCAGCCAAGGGACTATACAGCTGTTATGGAATAGGTGATTGCAAGGTAACTGTCGGACATTTTCCCCAACTGTATAGTCTTCTTTACACACAGGGCACTCTAACCCAGAATCTGTATTGTAAATGGAAAGCAAAACACAGCTGAAGAATAAAGCAGAAAACAAAGTACCTGATCAGCCTAAAAAGGTGATCCCATCACCTCCCTTTTCCCTCCCAAACAGCTCTTGTGGCTTCTGTCCCCTTCCCTGCCTCACCTCTGCAAGGGGAAAGCTTGCTGCTTAGCAGTCCCTACCATCACCACTCCCCTTTCCACTGTCCTGGGTTTGCATCACTATTCCCTTCCTTACAATACTACTGTACAAAACATGTTCAATGAACAGATGCACGTACACGTACCTGTAACAAAGCATCCAGTGTTTGATTTGAATCTCTCCAACCAACAAACTCTCACCCAGCTTATAGTAAAGCCTGGCTGAGCTGTCAGCACATCCCAGCACAGAGCTGCAGCCCTGCCCCATCAGCGTGCATGTGTTTTTTCAACTCTATTCACACTGAATTGTTTGGAACAGACAGTTTGCCTCCCCAGGGCAAATTCAACCAGTCTATTCTGCCCTTTCCATTGCAAGAGTATAGCAGAGAGCAGTAATTCAGTTTTCTCTCCACTTTGAGATGTTTTAGGCCTCGAAGGTACTAGCAGACAAAATTAAAATCACAAGAAAGTGTTTAAACAGAATTTTCACAGACCTCTTTGTGAACAGTTCGCTGGAGGAGATATACACACCTACGTGTTCCTGTGTGATCTGTACCGTGGGGAGGGCCTGGATCTTTTCTTTGTCTGCTGGCGGTGGTCCAGTGTTTTCAAACTGATTTAGTAACTGAAAAAACAATAGGCCAGAGAAGGCAGAAAGATGTGAGCTCAGCAGCACACAGAAATTGTTCATTTACCAAATTAGGGCACTTGAATCCAGCATCCCCTGCACCGTGGACCTCATCTCCCATTTCTACACCGTGGACCTCATCTCCCATTTCTACACCTTCAGTGGTTTGTTCCTGCTGCAGCACCATGGGTGCTGACAATTTAGCAAGCACTACCCAAGAGGACCCGAGGCTCCATTATAGTGCTAATTTTACCTGTGTAATAATTGCATCCAGGCCGTTAGCACCCCAGGCATAGTCCATTGGATTTGAATGCAAGACTCCCCTTTAAGAATAAGAGCAAGAATTAAATTCAAGCAGAAGTATGAGCAACCTCAGGAAGAACAGTTGAGCTTCAACTCACCAAGGACCGAGTCCTAAGTTTGGTATTGTTGTAGGTGCAATAATACCATTGACCAGCTGCTGAATGATTCTGAAAGACAAGAAAACCAGGATTAAACAAGAATCTGTATCTGCTGGCTCCTAGTTCAGAAGTCTGACATGGAAGGAGTGGCTAAATGCTGTCACATCACCAGAGAGAACGAAAGGAAAATAATAAACTGGTTATTCATTGACAAAAAGAAGACTGAATGCTTTATCCAGGTGGAATGATTACTGACAGAGACAGCAGAAGTCTTTCCAGGATACTTTTAAAGAAACTGCAGTCTTGTTCTCTAGAGTCTCATCTTATTTTTTCTCACAATGAATACGATGTTTTTACAATACCCAGAGACGACCAGGAAATGCTTTCTCAATGTGTGCTGAAGGGTCAAACCTCCCAGCCTCACTGCAGCTTAGGTTGCTGTGCTCAGTTAGAAAAGCCCCTAAAACTCAAGGCAAGAGCATGGCAGGCTGAGCAGAAGCCTGACCCTCCTGAAGCACGAGCTCACATAGGACAGAGCTGGGCATGCAGGACACTCACACCACACAGCTCTACCTATGAGCAGCCTTACACTTAAAACAGAAGAAGAGACAAAGGATGATTTGTGGTGAACTCATGAGTGAAAAACAACCAAGGTTTTCTGCACAAGAACCCCCAACAGCTGTTCTTACCCTTCCAAAGTGGGAACACCCTCGTGCCTGCCAGCAGCACGCCGCGTGGCGAGACGAGCCCGGGGCTGCCTCGCACCGTACCGGTGCCGGGACTGATGCTCTCTTTCCCTCCTGTTCTCAGAATCTCTGTTGTCTTCTGACTGCACATTGGACCCAAATGGAATCTCAAAGCCATCATCGAAAATCCCAAAGGCAAACTGGCCATAGCCCTGAGGCAAAGTGAACAAGTGCTGATCCACGTTCTGGAAAGGAGAGAATTTGAGAGCAGATTGTGATGAGAACAGAAATAGATCAACTTTGAGGTTTTTCCTCCAGCCTCCCAAAAATGACTTGTGTCTCTTGGTTGATACAGGTGTTCACTGCATGCTCAGAAGTAGCTGAGGGAGCAACAGAAACTCAGACTTCCCTGGTTTCTCTGTGGCTGCTGCGTGTTACTGCATAGCAACACACCCAGCCAGCTCTCTGATCCCAGCTTAGCCCCCCTCACAACAACCACCTACAGGTGATGGTCCTATCAAAAATATTATGTGCAGAGATTTCAGGAGCAGCCTGTGGATGCCATTAATACTTCCTCCCCCATATTTAGTCAAAATCTAGGGAACATTTAAACAATACGCTCATGGAAAGACGTGTTGATTCAATTGGCAAGAAAGAAAACCTTTGGAAAGAGAGAGAGGATTTACCTCAAAAGGATGCCTATTCTGATCACTGGTTGATGCAGAGGAGCTAGTTTCATTCTCGGTGTTCCTGAGAAGGAAAAAAAAGCATTGGTAAGTATCATAAGGGTGCTGTGAAATGATTTTCCCAGCAGAGGGAATCGAGGGACGTGAATTTGACACGATGAGCAAACAGCAAAGCTGCTCGTAACAGCACACAGGAAGTTAGTCAGAGCTGAAAGGAGCCACAGAGGTCAACTCACCCGCCCTTCTGCTCTGAACCTACAGAAATCAGTCTGCTCTCAGATGCTCATTTTTTCCTTTTCTCTAAGAATTCTCATTTTTCACTCTCTGTGAAAAATCACTCGCGTCATCATCCATCTTTCCCCACCCTTTTAGATTCCAGTTTGATGAAGTTAGGGAAAAGTGACTGATCCACCAAGCAAAGATTCCCTGCACAATCCACCTCCAACAAGTCAGCTGGTTCCCTGGGGCACCAAGAAGAGAAGATTTAAGGTACAAGCCCTGACCACTATGACCCAGATGTGCTCAAGTCTAATCCTGAATCAAAGGAACTTCTCTATTGCAGAAGCATGTGACCAAATGGGAAAAACTCTTAATGCCACCAGACTTCTGCTTTTGGATTGCTGCAAAAAGGTTTACTACTCAGTATCCAGGCCTATGCTTCAACATTATAGGTAACAAAATCCAAAAGGTTCAGCAATTAAGAGACTCTCTCCAAGGTCACAGCCAGTCATCAACATAGGAAGGATTACCCAGGGTTGATTTTCCACCTCTGGGTTGTTGCAGTGAGACAAAACATCACCTTCTCAGTACAGAAACCTCAGTCTGTGAAGACCACTCCCCTGCTATCAGTAAGAATGTGCATCTAAGACACATCCCAAGCTGTCTCTGTGCCAGCCTGACTCTGTGCTGTTCAGTCTGACAACTGGTAAATGCATCTGAAACATTCAGACACTTTTACTCTTGCCTATTCTGACACTGCCAGAGAGCAGTGCCACTACTCAGTCATCAGTAAAACATGTGGATACAGATCTGAGCTGCTTCAGTGCAGAGTCCAAAGCCTCAGTCAAGGTATAGTGCTACTAGTACTTCAAACCATGTTACATACAGTCCCCATTTTGCAGATTCCTCTTCTTGGACAGCTGTAAGAGGCCTACAAAGATTATCAAGTCCAACTGCCAGACCTCTTCAGGGCTAACCCAAAGTTAAGGCCCATTATTGAAGGCATTGCTCAAGTGCTTCTCAAACACTGACAGGCACAGGGCACCTACAGGGTTGCTACACTCCTAGGAAGCCTGATTCAGCAAAGAAATTTTGTCTGATGCTCCATCTGAATTTCTCCAGCACATCTCTGTGCTGCTCCCATGCATCCTACTGTTGGTGAGCAGGGAACAGACCTCTCTCAGCACTTCCCCAGCTGCAGAGAGATGTCAGGTTGCTTCTCAGCCTTCTTTCCTCCAGGCTTGACAACCCAGGCATGCTCAGCCTCTCCTCACAGCACCATCCTCCTCTGGATGCATTCAAGCATCTTAATATCCTTTTCATGTTATCTCTGCCCTGATGACTCAAAGCAGTTAAGAGCTATCACATGCCATGAGGAAAGACTCTGACACCTTTTCCTGTTTGTTTTTGAATCAACACATTCCTCCTGCTGCCCTTTACCACTGCTGATTTACCAGCAGATGCAGGCTATGCATATTAAGCCCTACGTTAGTAAAGAGAGATAGGCCAAACGTTGGCCAGAAGAACTAAAACCTGTGTAGGATGTGACGCTGTCTTTTACCTAGAAAAAGAGCAGAGTAGACTGAATGCACCCTAACAATGGCCTCTGAGAGCAGCACATTACCTTGGCTCTTCAGGAAGTTCTTCAATAAAACCAGATTCACACCGTGGGCAAATGTAGTCCTACAGGAGAAGAAACACTGAATGAGAAAAGCAAGCAGTTGGCAAAACCAGTACTGTGATACAGAGAGCACCACCTGGTATGACAGCCCCCAGGAGCCCACCACATCTCCCCAGGAAAGCCATCCTGCAGCATCTTAAGGAGCAGCTCTATTTTGTGGATTAGATGTAATATGTTGTATTTCTGCCCTGTGGTGACACCAGAGCTCAGTTTTACTGCACAAATAACCAGATCAGAGAGGCAGTCAGTCTGAAATTCCCCTAGATCACACCAGTCTTACAGCAGAATGTAAAAAACCCAAACAAATAGCCCACCCTGTACTTCTTAGGAAGGGAATTCTGCCCAAATTAAGATCCTTGACTGAGTAATTAGGGATAGGGAGAAGAACTCCTCTCACCACCTGGCTTGAGCACTTCTGTAACCCACTTTTAAATCCCATTTAATTTTATTATAAGGGTAAAAACAATTTGGCCAGCTAATACAGATAGAGCTACTGTGGAAACTATATTAAGAAGTACATCCACTACCACTGAGACTTGGCACAGATGGGAAGCAGAGAATGCAGAGCCAGAAGGACCCCCAAACCACCCATCAACACCACCAGGAAGGGAAACTGTGAAGCCTGAACCTGCTTTGAACTTGGATTTATGTAAGATGTGGATAATACTAATTGATCCCCAGTACAGACAAAACAGGAGGTAACATGTGATGCAGTTCAGAGCAAAGTGAAAGCCAACCCACCAGCTTTCCCAGAAGGTCAGCACTAAAACACTGCTCTTTAAATATCTGTGTGTTTGTGGGGCTTCCCCCCACTCTCCCCAAGGGGGCCAAAGCATCCTAATGAATGAGATGAGGGAATCAGGCTAATTACAGCATCCTTCTCACTTAGGAAGAGCTTAATGGAAAGCTATGGCTGATGTTGTCTGGGGTTCCCAGCACTCAGAGCTCGAGGAGACACAAGTGGGTCATTCTGCAGCACACAATACCAGAATGTCACACTCCCACGCTCATTACAGAGAGCTACTGCCACCCTTGTGGCTTTTAATACTGAAAACTGAATGTGACAGAATAAACAGCCTGTGTATTCGGAGCAGGATTCTTCAAGAGTTTGCTACAGTCACTTTTTCCCCCCCTCAATAATCCTCGGTGCAAGGAATTTATGCTTTGTGAGCACACTTGCAGCCAAAAGGAGCCCAAGAGCACTTCAGCTCACTAAAGGAATCATTGGGCTATTTAGCACAAGGCAGCCACATGAGAAGAAGTGACACCACAGGACACCACTGAGTCACAAGAGGAAGTGACAGATGCTGCACCCAGTCCCAAACTGAGCCTGGTTCAGGGCTGCCATGGCCCAGGACCTGGGAAACACAAGGCCTCACGTAGAAACTTCACACCTTTGCCACTGCTGCATCCGAATTGTCCTAAGGCACAAAGATTCCCAGGAAGAGGAGAGGCTGACAGCAGTGTGGGCTTTGCTTCTCAAGGCATCACAGACAAAAAAGAGAAAAAAGATAAAACCCAAGCAAAATGCAGCAGGGCCAAAGATCCACTCAGCCCTGTTTCTGTCTGCTTAGCAAGATAAGGAAGCAGCAGACACCCTCCAGTTCCAAGACAGAGAAGCTGCTGCTGCCTCCTCTGGGCAGGGAATTGTGAAATAACTCCATCTAGAGAATTTACACAATGTTTGATTTCGAGAACATTTCTACACCAAATCACCAGCATACAGGAACTCCTGCACACTCTACAGGAAAAACACATCAATTATCCCTGCAATAACCTCATTCTGGTTTACGTTGCACCCATACATCATCAGGATAAATTATTACACTCGACACACTTAAGAAGTCAGCCATGCAATCCTCTCACCTCTCCCATATAAGGGAGTTGCATGGGTTTGTTTTCTCTTTGTTTACAGACTCTGAATGTAGAGATCAGCAAATTCCTTTGCAGCTGGAACAGCACAAATGTCACAGCTCATTGTTTCTCAGGTTGTTTGAATGAATCCTTCCCCCTGTTCATGCTACGCTACCTTCTGCAGCGAGGCCTGCAATCAGGAAGTAAAACCAGCAAGCTTGGATCCTGAAACAAGCCCGTTGACTATCATGAGATCTGCATCAATGAAAGAAGCTGTCAGCTCCCTGCCAAGGCCTGATGCTCGCTACTAGATGCACTCTGCTGGCCCAAAACCAACACAGGCCGCTGGAACACAAAGAAGTGACTCCTGCTCCTGGATTACAGCCTTTCAGCTCCTGAACCACTTTCTCCAGCCAGGCTGTTTGCTGAGCAGGAGCGTTATCAGCAGCTTTGTCTTCAGACTCAAACACACGTTGCTCAATTGCCACTGAGGCCCACCCTCACCTAAGCAATGAGAGAGAGCAAAAGGACACAGCGCGTTTCAAACCCAAACTCACCCAATCGAAGCAACCACGGTAAATAAATAAATACATACAGGCACGAGGGCGGCGACTTTTAGAAGCGAATGATTAAAAGAAGGAAAAAAAAAAAAAAGAAAAAGTAACGCCTTATTTTGACGAGAATGGTTCAGAACAGACTCGGTATGACCCAGAATCAAAGCCAGACGGATCCTCGAATCAAAGCCAACATCTGGCAGCTCAGCAGCCCGCTTTGTGAAGCAGTTCCACGCCGCCAGCAGCGCCGGGCTCCACGCACGGCTCAGCTCCCGCCTGCCCCGACCTCCCGCCGCCCCCGCCTCAGCGTCACGGCACCGACCGGCCCGTATCTCCGGTAGAAACCTCGGGAAAACCCCGAGAGGCTCCGACCGAAGCGGCACAACCCGAAGCCTCGCTCAGCTCAGCGGGCCCAACGCGGAGCCAAAGAACGGCGGGGGGTGGCGGGGCCTTTAGGAACGAAGCGAGAAGGGAAGAGGAAGGAACGCGGGAAGGCGGCGGTGTTCCTCAGGCCCGCCCGGCTCCGCGGTCCCCCCCTCCCTCTCCCCCTCAGCGGCCCCCAATCGCCGCAGCCCCCACCGCCCCTTCGGCCCCGGCCCGGCCCCCCCAGGCCTCATCCCCACGTGTCCGCCCCGCGGGGTTTCTGCCCGCCCCAACGTCGTCCCGCGGCTCCCCCGACCCCGTCGTGGCGGCACCCGCGCCTCCTCCGACTCACGGGCAGGCGGGGAGCGATCTCGGCCGAACAGCAGTGGCAGAAGAAGCGGCCCGGCTGCGGGGAAGCCTCCGCCATCTTCCCACCCCCCCCGCGCCGCCCCGCCCCGCCCGGCGACGTACGGAGGAGGAGACGGCGGCCGAGAGGGGACAAAAAGAGACGGCGGCAGAAACGCGCGAAGCGGGCGGTGCTGATGCGAAGGGGCGTGGCTTTTCGAGGGGGGCGGGGCTTATCGGGAGGCGGGGCCAATGGCGCTGTGCGGCACGCGGAGCCGTAGGCGCGCTCCCGTCCCCATTCCCGTTCCAGATCTGTGCTTTTCATCTCGGTAATAAAGGCTAATAATTACTTTAATAAAGACTAACGATTACTCAAAAGCCGAATAATTTCCTTATTAAAGAAAAAAAAAAAAGACCTGGGGAGAGACTGAGCCCATCAAAAAGAGGGCAAAGCGGTTTTCCCGTGAAAAAAAAAACCAAAAAAACAACCCATATTCTTTTAAATATCGGCCCTACCCCCACCCCATCGCCTGGAGGGAGCTGGGTCTGCTCAGAGAGGATTTGAGTCACCCCAAAGGCAGCGGTGGGGCGGCTTTCTCACGGTGCTGCAGAGCTGTGATGAGGGAGGAGGTGGCACCTCCAGAGTCTGCATCAGCAGAGCAGAGTGCAGCTGGGGGGGGAAATGAGGGGAGATGAGAGGAATGGG